ATACTCGGTATGTATCGTATTTCAATCAAATGAAAGCTGATGATATTTGTCATATATAAAGATTAATAGTTGTTTACTTATATTTGAAATATGATTATTATTAAATGCAGCAGATTGTATCAATTGTTTTGAAGTTATAATAGAAATAAAAATTCTCTATATTTTTTTCAACATGATTATAAAAATTAACAACTTGGTATTGTTAAATCAAAGATTAATTGTTTAGTTATGAGATAGCGCATTTAGACAAAATGACATGATTCGAATCTATATAAACCAAAAACAACACCAATCAAGAGAAGGTTATGAATATTATCGTATATCAAGCAAAGTTTACTCAATTATATATGTCATTGTACTAGAATATAGTCTAATATGTCAACAAATTTTTTATTGAATATAATAATTGTAATGACTAATACTAAATAGTATGATTGTTTGGTTTTTAAAATAGTAATCATATTATTGTTAACGTTGATTAGTAAACCATATCCTTATATTACCTAAATGTTAAATGAAGAAATTTGTATCAATGAATCAATGGATTCATTATTGGACTTACGATTCGACTACAATACTCCGATAGGTTCTCGACACAGATTCGTTCAACAATAAATTCAGACAATAAATTTATGTAATAAATCTATTTACTTTGAAGTGTGTCAAATTTTTCTATAAGTAAAAAAAAAATGTATATGCTCAATTATCATAATATCTGTTTAAAACATTTAAATACTTATGTACTTCATATGAATTTGGCGAAATATTCTTATGATAAAAAAATTAACCATTACATGTATCATAATTTAAATATTGTTTATGTGAATTAATAACATATGAATTAATAAGTGTGCGTCGTTAAATGAAAAAAAAACAATCATTATTTCATAAATATTTATTGTAAAAATATTTACGCAATAGTATAATAAAATATAATTAAGTATATAAAATAAGAATATATTGTTCACATGCTGAACTTAAATATTTATGTGGTTTATATCGACTTCGTAGAAGATTAAAGTATACTATCTTTCATGCTTGTTAACAACAATTTTACATATATTGAAATATTCTTAATCAAAAAATAAAATTTGTGCTCTCATCAACAGTTAATACAAGCTCATCTGCCACACATGTTGGCAATGGATGTATCAACGAAAGTAATGATTCGTATGAAATAGTTTCTATTTTAAATATATCACCCCGCAGAGGCACATATATTGAACTATCACATTCATGCAAATACTTAATATAATCATTAATACGATGGCGTGGTATTGTTTTATGGATGCCAGGTGTTAGAGAATCAATAATGAAAAAATAATCGGGGGTACTATCGAATCGCCGAACACAGAAGTAATGATCATTTTGATGAACAAACAAACCTTGCACATCATGAATATGATTTCTAATCAAATCACGATGTAGGTATGATGTTTCATCTTTTTCTCGCAATTGTAGGAGTTCAATATTATATTGTTGTTGAAGAGCTTTTTGAATAACTTGAATATGATAATAGCCAGTAATATAATTGAAATAATATTGTCTAACTGTAGTTACATGTGGACGAAGTATAAGTTCTTGGGTTGCAAGTTCTTCTGCTAAACTAATTAGATATGTATCATGAAATATTTGTCTGTCTTGTACAAGAGCTCGAAGAGCATGACCGCCACAAAATAAAAGACGCTGTTTTTCACAAATTATTACATCCTCTGGTTTAATGATATCATCAACCATATTGGTATCATCATCAACGTTGGTAGCATTGTTTATATTAATATTGTTTATAACTTTCAAACGTTTATTAGTATGTTTCGAATTATTTTGTGATGTTTTATTCTTTTTTTCTTTATTATTGACATTAGATGTATAACTACGATTTGGATCAGAAATACTATGCTGAATACGAAATGATAAAGTATACTTGTCAGCTTAAAATGTGATTTACTAACTGCTTCGTTTAAATAGTCATCGAATTTAATTGGATTTTCTCTTTCAATTCTCTGTAAACGTTCAATCTCCTTTAAACCATCTATCGAAATCTAAATATGTGCATATATATAATATTCAAATAAATTTTAGTTAAAATTATATACTTTAAAAGATTTTCGATCGTATGCTAGTATTATAATATCTGTAATATGACGCGTTCTGCTAAGAACTGTGTAAAACATACCAGGTTTCCAATATTTACCAGCAAGATCAATAACTAATTTTGAATATGTCATACATTGAGTTCTATGTATGGTTATCGCATAACCAAGTGCAAGTGGCAATTGTACACGAGTCATGCTGATATTATTCATGTCATTAAATCGAGTTTCCTGAGGTTCTAATTTATATGTTTGACCATTGAATAATTCTAAATATTGATTTCTAATTACGCTATGTCATTTTCTAAACTTTCATAGTTTTACCGAGTTCTACATATTTCGGTAGTTTTGCGTTAATAACATTTGACAATCCAGAAAATATGTCTTCGGACTCTGCTGGTGGTAAAAGAAAATCTGTAGAATCTTCCCAAACTATATTTTTTATTATGGCATCACTTCCATTAATAACGGAGTTATCTTGATCGATGTTGCGTCTAATAATAACGCGTGCACCGACACAAATAGGCAGTCGACGGTACAGTGAACCACATTTATTTTCATCAGGTGATGGTTTAAGATTAATTTTGCAAGTTCTATTACTTGTTTTACTAGAGTTGAAGAAAGACGTATTAATCATGGCTACTCTCTATTTAATGAATATATTCCAATTTCAGATTGATATAAAACTAAAAATTAATCTTACATCTACAGCATTAATCATAAAAATAGGATTTTTTGAAGCAGATGCATGCTTTTTTAATTTTTCTACGTTTCTTAAATTTGTCAATTTTCGAACTCCATACGCATGAACAGCATCTTGAAAATCAGGTGAATTTAACTCTTTCAATCGTTCTTGATAGCTTTCAGGATTGTCTTGTTGACGTATACTTCTTGATTTTATTAGATATTCTGTGTCTTCATCCAAACAACCTATATCATGTACATTATTTCTATTTAGAGTATTACAATAAAATATTAAGTACCCATTCGCAGTCGACACAAACAATCAAAGAAGAGCCGATCATCTCCTTGTCTCATATTAATATCAAAGTTTATAGGTCTGAATAAGTCATGCCATAAAGAAAATAATTCACCTAATGGACGATAGAATACTTGTTTAGCTGCGACAGGTTCAATCTGAGCCATGTCACCGAATACGATAACAGGAATACCACCAAAATAAACATCGCATTTATCAAGTGTACGAAATATTTCATTTAAACGTTTATTAATTTTTTGAAATAATGCATGTGAAACAAGCGAAATTTCATCTATGATTATCAACAACAATCCATTGAGTTTGTTTCTTAGGGTATGAAATTTAAAAGAATTTAATTTGTTTGGTGATGAACTTCCGTCTGGACACTGAAAGAGCAAAACATTGTATCATGTAATAATAATAGGAACGTATGCTTACAATTTCAAGAGCCGAATGTATAGTAGAACCATGGATATTCAACGCTGCTTTTCCTGTATGAGCCATTTTAAGTAAACCAAAATTTTTACGAGCACGCGAAACTCCAGCAGATTCAGCAATGCAATATTCGTTAAGCATTTTTTCAATTATAGAAATAACATAAGATTTACCAGATCCTGCCAGACCATTGACAACAATATGAAATGATTTCGGCTTTTGTACATGTGTTGGTCGCCTAGAGTGCATCAACAAGTGATTCAAATACATTTGAATAAAATCAAGAACATATTTCTGTTGAGGATTAGCTGTATTTGTCAAATCTGATAATGCTTGAAACGATAGGCAAGTGCTAGTGTCGAAATTTGTAAACGAGTTGTTGTCAGTTGTTATAAATGCTTGTGTAAGATCATTATCTGTTGATGGTTTGTCAATTGTATCATCTTCATGTTCGATTGGATTTGTAAATATATAAGATTCTCGATGATTAATTTTAAAATTTTCTTTATTAATATTGATTAAATGGTCCAGTAGATTTTTTAGTTGAATACGATACGTTTGAGGTAATGTTAAAATACGAGTAGAAATTTCTATTTTGTGTTGTAGAAGTACTTGATGTAGATCATATATTTCTGGTTCTAAGAGAAAAATTAAAAATGTACCACTTAAATTAAAAAAAAAAACATTTCAAACCTTGTTTACCACCTAAGAATTCAACCACTGAATCTCGAAAAGGAATATTTAAGCACAATAGAGTATAAATAGACTGTGCAGTATGATCATGAAGACAAGTGAATGTCACACATTTAGGATTTTCGTGTTGACGCATTTTTTGACCAGATGTTAGTATAATACGTGAAAGTCGTCTTGAAGTTTTCAATAATGGTGGTTGATCATAGTTGGTACGCCATAATGGATTAGGTATTAGTGTATTGTTATTAATATCTTCACATGTCGAATCAGTATAATCAGTTGCGAACCATACTGCAAACTCAAATAAAGTAAGATTATTAATCACCTCTGGTACCGAAGGTCGTTGTGAATATCGATGAATTATTGTTGTAACAAAATCATCTTCAGTAATTGATTCCATATTTACATTTGGGTTTTTTAATATACGGTCTTCATGAGATGGTAGAGATATGTATAAGTGAACTGTGGCCATTGAACACCGATACAATGGAATACCTTTTTATTTTATAAATGATTAAGAAACCCTGCAAAGATCTACTTACCTAAAATTAACCAAGCAGCTTCAATTTTTCCAATCTGTCTATGTGATAAAACAGCATTGCCAGCTTTTAGTAAAACTTTTCTCGCTTCTTCAAGAGTTGAGCATGCACATCCAGCTAACTTTTGCACGAGATCCTTTTCCATATGAGCCTCTTTACTAATATAAGAAAAGAGATACTCAGCTGCCGCCCATGGATCAGTTACAATTTGTATATCGTGATTACATTTAAATGTTTTAAGTAAATTGATATTATATGGAACAATACGGCGTGACTAACAATACCGAAAGTTAGATATATCTTGGTAAATAGGCAATAGAAAAAAAATTACTTCTTCTGTTGTTCTTTTCATAATAATATCACGATCACCACGTGTCAATATTCTAGCTTCTTTATGTGTACGAAAATGTGTATTTGTAGCTAATGGATCAGGTTTTCCAAAACGGCATCTAGCTCTTTCAAAAAATTCTCGTCTTTCGACCTTTGTTTGAATTAAATCAGGATCATCGTCTGGATCTATTTTTTCGTATATTTCATCTTCATTATTTCGATTTATACTGCTAATATAATCTGTATTGTCTTGTATTTCATGTTTTTGTTCATGTGTTAATTTTTTTTTCCTCTTCGAATGCGTATAATTGGCTTACCTTATATAATAGAAGAATTATTTAAAAACAACAAATTGACTATTTTTTTACTTTTACTACAGGTGAACGTGTGTGTATGCCATTGTTTTTTACGAACTAATTTGTAAAGAACTGGCTGAGCATCTCGATCAGGTAATTCAGTAGTAAGAAATTTGTCAACAAAAGCAAGTATTTCTTGGCGTCCTTCAGTTGTATCTGTAGAAGGAGGATTTTCAATCCATAGTAAAGCATGTAGAT